GACGTAAACCCCCACTTTAAAAGATAAAACTGTTTGTCCGGACTCATTGAGGAACCGGAGTCTGTCTGTAATTCATTAAATGAAAACCTTAGCTAATAAACTCACAAAAAGAGATCAGTAATTTGTTTAACATATTTCCCATGTGTATATTAAATTTACTTTTATATTAAAGTATTTGATAAACAAGCGTCCTGTATTGCTATTGCATTTTTTCTTGTTGTCTGAAGAGCAGTCTCTCGGAGTAAAGTATTATGATAACAATGTTTACTCACGGATAACAAGATAATATTAAGCAATTTTCTTTTGCTAAATCGAGAGCAACACGTGAAAGTAACGTGTAATGATAAGATTGAAACTTTAGTTGACAATTAGAATATATATATATATTATTATGAGAAAAATTATACTCTTAGTATTAAATTTGTTTTTAGATATATTGATGACTTAATTATCTTTAATTTTCAAGATTATACTATTTTATTAAATGATAATTACCCTGAGGAATTAATTTTGTTGCGTAATCGATAATATTAATTTCAATTTTTTGGATTTGGGTATTATAAAAGTTGAAAATATCTGCTTTGTACGATAAAAGAGAAGATTTTAATTTTAATATTAATAAACTAATTACTTGGAATTCTAATGTTTCTAGGAGCATCTATTTAAATACCACTTTTAATGAAGTGAACAGAATTAAAAGAATATGTAGCAATATTTATTTATCCAAAAAAAAAATCAATAAACTCTTTCCAAATTTGATAAAAAACAATGGATACCCATCTAAAGAAATAAAATTTTATATAAAATCATTGAATTAATCGTATATTTTTGTGGATATATTTACTAAATATTTTCTTTGCTAATTTATATAATTTTCCCATGTGCAAATCCATTTCGGGTAAATCCGTTGCCAAAATTATTTACTAAATAATTTTTTTGTAATATGCATAATTTTTCCATGCACAAATCCATTTCGGGCAAATCCGTGGTCAAAATTATTTACTAAAAAATTCCTTCACTAAAAAATTTCCTTCGTTAAATTATATAATTTTTCTATGTGCAAATACATTTCGGGCCTATCCGTGGCTAAAATTATCTACTAAAAATTTTTTCTTTGTTAATTTTTATAATTTTTCCATGTGCAAATCCATTTCGGGCAAATCCGTGGGTAAAATTATTTACTAAAAATTTGTTTATTAATTTATACAATTTTTCCATGTGCAAATCCATTTCGGGCAAATCCGTGGCTAAAATTTTCTACTGAAATAATTCTTCTTTGTTAATTTTTATGATCTTTCCATGCGCAAATCCATTTCGGGCAAATCCGTGTTAAAATTTTCTACTAAAATTTTTTTTGGTTTTATAATTTATATAATTTTTTCATGTGCAGATCCTATTCGGGCAAAAATCCGCGGCTAAAATTATTTGCAAAACAGGCAATTTATGTTTCTCTTTTCTATTTTATATTTTTTCTTAAATAAATATTTATTTTCTAATATTATTTATGGTCAACTTTTTAAATTATCCAGTATAATATTACCTTGCGCGCATCCATTTCGGGGCCATCCTTGGTAACTAACAAATCAATGCACAGCAAGCAAATCACTGCAGCAACGCAGTAAGAACGGCACTTTAAAATCCTCTATTTACACTCAATTTGCGCTTTTGGTTTCATATTTTGTAATCTGGCAATCTTGTTGCGAAAATATTTTTAAATCATTCTTGAAAATTTTCCCGTTCATGTAAGTACATCTGAATTCGCTACTCGCTTTATAGTTTTAATTTCATGTTTTATTCTGTTTTTCTTTATATTTTATTTTCTGTTTTTACGTGATATTTTTACTTTTTGTGTTCTATTTTATTTGTTGTAATTTTTTAGAAAAATTTTTGAGTGCTTCTCACACTATTGCATTGATATATTTTGCTTTGGCTATATTGATGCAATATTAGAAAGCACTCTTTCTTGCGGATATAATTGTGTGGGCTGATGAAAAGATTATATCTTTTATTTTCTGGTTTTTTTAAAAAATTTCATCCT